CCAAAGTTGTAGCTGCTGTGTGGGTGTGAGAGTAAGGGTTTATGTGTAATTTGTGTTTCTGTGTGCGGGAGTGTGACACACAAGCATATCAGTCAGATAATTTGCTATTTATGTGCAAGTACAAGTTCAACAAACTGCACATGCTAGGTCACACAACACTCTTTGTGTCATCCTGTAGCAGCATGAAGTTAGATGCGGTTGGCTGTCTGGCCCACTAGTTTTAAAACAGACTGATTCTGCTGACTGCAAGAGAGGCACGCAGACACACACTCACTCAGACAAACATAAGCATTAAAGTGCTTTTCTTGGTGAGGAAGCAGAAGCAGCTTTAGGGAGTTTTAACAGCAGGAGGTGAGCTGTCAGGGATTTTAAACCTTCCATGTGTCAAAAAGGGAAAGACTGTGTGTGTGCGTATAAAGACACTAGAAGTGCCTGACCAGCCTACAGGAGATGAAATCTATATGCTGTATTCACACAAGGAAGCCTTCTTCCTGAAAATACCATTCACCTCACTTGTCACATTGTAAATGTTACTAGGCAATGATCTTCTTCTCTGAAGCGTTGTGAATTCTGACGTCGCCGGCAAGCACATGAAATCAGCTCTAAGAAATTATACTTAAGTAGTATAACCAATTACAGAATAAATTATTTTGTTTTTATGATAGGAACTTAGAAAGATCAAGCATGTTTTCATATGAGAAATAAATGACTGCAATAAGCCAATCCACCCATGTTGATGGATTTGTTATTGGTGATTTGAAGTACTTTAGCTTTGCAACATAAATGTCTGCTTCTGCGAGTATTCAAAGTGTCAGGTGGGAAGGAAATAATTAACTCTAAATTTGCAAACGTTTTCTGGAAGAAAGTAGTGAAAGGCTAAAATACATAGAGAGGGAATTTGATGCATGTCATGTTTAATTACTAAATGCAACCATATTCCCCGCTACCCAAGCACACACTAGTAACATTTCGTGGCAATTCTAATCACATGCTGAATATATAAATGTTTCTAACGGCATTAATAAGCATCCAGATCTCAACAGCAGTTTCATTCAAACCTAAACAGACCTAATCGCAGACAAAAGTAAAGGATTTCTCACCACTTAATTTATGAAAATGCAGGACTTTAAAAAAAAACTAGAGTTTTCCTCGTTTCCTAAAAGTAGCAGGAATTCCAATCATGTCAAATTTTTCCTTTAAAAAGTCACAGCAGCACAAACCTTTTCATTTGTAGTTAACATTACTGTCTCTGGTTTCCACAAAGACATGAACCTACATGTATCATCACAAATGTGTGGGAAGTAAAAAAAAAAAAGCTAATCAGAATTCAGTAAAGCTGTCATAAATTGTCAGTGGTCACCTGTCATGGTTTCCAACTGCTTCAAAAGAGCAAATCCTTTCAAAGGCAATCCTTAGGTTGTACAAACAGCTTTTCCATTCTTGTCTCACTGCCAAGTCTTTAATTACTGCTGCTTGGTCAGTGGCCTTCTGCTTCAAAATATGAAGCTGTGGGGCGCCCTAAAGCTCACCTGGTAGAGCTGTCACCCCATGTACAGAGGCTGAGTCCTTACTGCAGCGGCCATGAGTTCAAATCCAACCTGTGGCCCTTTGCTGCATGTCATCCCCTTCAATCTTTAGCTGTCCTATCCAATAATGGCAGAAAGCCCAAAATATATATTTAAAAAAAACAAAAGCAGAAGCTGTAGCTATCCCTCTAGCATTTCTGAACTTGCCTGCCATCAAAGACAGGTGATGTAGTAGGAAACTTTGCATATGGAGGTAGTAAGATAGATGGATGGGTCAAACAAACACAGGACATTAACCAAGGCGACCGCTGTTCTTCTCCCATTTCCTGAGGAAGTTAATCACTTATGAAAAAAGTTAATTAAATTGCAGCATGACTATTGCGAGGACCTCATTGTGACACCTAGGAGCCAAAAAAATCATTGTGTTCTCTCTTTGTGTTCCAGCCCTGAGGAAATGTTCAGAGGACTTTTTAGTGCTGGTCACTGGCAACTGAACCTTTGTTGCTTTGTGACAAGACTAATAAATGAGACAATTTTAAATCCGAACAAGACAGAAACACAAATGTTCACAGCTAACTACATTTTGCATTTAACCTGCTCTGAACTCCAATCGTTGCTCATAATCTTGGTGCTTCTGCCAGTAGCCCTTTGTCTTTGCAACTCACCTTACACTGAAAAAAATGGTACTTTGGATCAACCTTCTTGAACAATCAAAGGTTTTTACTCTAGAAGCAAGGTAATGGTGGACAGCAAAACTCAAAGCAGAGTGACCTTATGTGACGTTATGGTGTTATTTGACATGAAAACCTCTGGTTTGAAGTAAAAAAAATGTCTTGAGTTTAGACCAATATAAAGATGTACTATGTTAGATGTACTAAATAAATGACACAGTTGTTTCACTTTTGTTGTTTTTTACCAACGACACTGCCCATTTTTCAGTACACACGATCCTTATATCTGTACTTGGCCTTCATTCAAGTATTAGCTAAGTCCTTCTTCATCTTTTAATTGAACATGATTTTTTTGTAGCTTTGTGAAACCTAATACGGTTATTCCTTTTATGTCACTGAATTTTGGCAATCTGAGCCCTATACTCAATTTGTATTTGAGTTTTTATAGTTTCAGTCAGAACTGGTGACACAAATGGGCAATACTGTCATCATAGGGAATTTTAATATTCATGTGAAAAATGTATTGGACCCACTTTACAAGGCCTCATTAATTGATACGCGACCCTACCAACTGAATGTCTTTTCATCCTCGGTTTAACTATCTCTTGGGTCCACCGTCTCTGAATGACCACCCTTTTATCCCATTACAAGTAAAATTTAGACTGAATTAGGAATACACCAGCCAACATAATGCCTCCACCATCACCTCTCTCACTGAGCAACTGCCGATCAATCTTTCCACTCTTACTGGTTATATTGGCACCCCTGACAGTATTACCACTCATTTATTTTGATCTGGCCAGTATGATTGATTCAATAGCTCATATAAAACCAAAACTCCTAAACAGCAAATTTGTGCCATGTCAAAACCTAAAGCACAAATGGAAATAGCACACTGTGTGTTAGGACAACAGCTTATAAAAAATAATTGTTAATGACCATTAAAGCTTGAATGCATATTGATCACCTTAATTTCAGATCTTCCAATAAGTAACCTTGGGCTTCCCCCTAATAGTCAACTTAATTGTTAGCCGCTGAGAAGAGTCTTAGTAATCCAGTTTTCATTAATTGGAGAAACAAAACAAAAACTTGTTTGGGAAGTACGAAAGTATCTGAACACAGACCATTTCTCTTGTAATGGTTTGTTCACACCCTCCATGTCTGCGTGGCATGTGCATGGCGGAATGTCTTGATTTTTATTCCGTTGCCGATTCTAACAGATTAGAGCGGTCCCAGTCTCAACTGTGTCTGCAATGACGCTTCACTAGAGAGTCGAGGACTTGCCTTTTTTTACAGTGAAAAGGACGTTTAAACTGTAGTTAAATATTAGGATATGACAGATCCTTTTACTGTGTTCTCTTGCTGGGAGACGCACGTTGCACGTGAAAAAGGTAGGCAGGGCCTCTTGTGAAGCAGACATGCATCTCACGTGGGCAGTGTGACCGCTCTAATCTGTTAACATGGGCGAAATAAAAATCAAGATGTTAAGCCACGCACATGCCACGCACACATGGGCGGTGTGTAACTGTTAACATTATACATCATTTATCGTAACGATAAATCCGCAAGTATTTGTTTTTGTTAAGTTGTGTGATGTTATACTGTGTTGAAATAACTAAATGTTCAGTCTTCTTGC